TAAAACAATCAATTTTCCACCTAGCATTTCTTATTTTATTTACTGCAATCGTTGCCAACAAGATAGCAAAAGGTTTCTTTTAATTGTCAGATCAGATTTACGTGATAAAATGTAATGTACTGCTTGTCACCTTTAAATACTGGAAATATCAATAAAATACCAAATTATTCATTATTTCAAACTAGATTATAAAAGCACATTGTAAATTTATTGCTATGTTATTTCTTATTACCCAACTCACAATAGGAGCTATAAATGGCGGGATGAACTAAACATATATATTTTCTTCATCACTCTATGATTTACTGGGGTTTTCATCATAACTGAAAAATATTTCCCTTAGAAAATCAATGATTGGTCTGGTAGCAAAACCAAACTTTTAAATTATGGTTTTGAAATAACATAATTGTGGTTTTTAATAGCTCCTACATTGCCTTGATCAATTATCTGATTTTTTCCCCCCAAAGTTTTCAGAGCAATAAAATTAATTTTGGGGCAGCCAGCTTGAATGAAAAATGGATACAGGTGGTACTAATTGGACTGTATAACACAGAAAGCTGTTAATACACAACAACAAGATGCATTTAAGTAATTTCATTTGAGGCAGCAATAACATTAAACCGCTTATTAATAGCAAACGGCAATTAGCCTATGTCCTATAGAAAATATTCATAGAAAAAATGTGTATAGCATGTTTACATGTTGTCATGTAATATTCAAACATTTCTATATAGAAGTATGTTTGGGAAGTATTAGGTACATCATTTGATATTTTTATATATAGTAGAACGTTTTATTTATATTTTGACAATTACTTTATGCATGCATCACTAAATGTACAATTGTGAATCAGAAAAGCATCCTTCACAATATTGTTGTCTATATATCTGTGATTGAAGCACCATTACACTAAGTCATGTTCACATGAATAAATATTCTGAAAGGCAACTTCAACAAAGTCTGCTAGACAACTATAACTGTCAACCAATCTAGATTTGTGTATGTAAAGTACTTCCAAGAAAGGCACAAATTATAGTAATTGAATTAAAATCAACCCCAATCTTCTCTATAAACTGTAAATAAAAGTTATTACTTAGTTGGTTTCTGGGTGGAGTTTATTAATGTCCAGTATAAATAAACAGTATAATTAATCTGAAGTACATGAAATGTTCTTTATGGCGTACAATGTAGGATTTAGCCAATTATCAAATGGAATTGACAATAAGATGAATCAACAGCACTCTGTAAGATAATTTTCATCTGCAGTTATTTGTTCTTGCATAACTAATGCTTTCAAATTAATGAGTGAATAACTGAAATCTAAAACATGAATAAATAAATATGTAGAGAGAATAGAATTGCAAGAGCTGCATGCAAAATAGGCCTACTCAAAACATTAGAACAAGTTAATTTGCAGTGCTGGCATGAGGAAGATAACTTTCTAAATGTAGATAGAAGACACCTGGAACAGTTTATAAAATATCCACACAAGCTTTGAAAAGCACATGGATGCTTTGATGATTCAAAGGGAGAAACTCGATATCTTCCTGCATGGCAAAGCACATAATTTGAGTGCTTAATATTATCATTAATGAATACTCATAAAATTTGAAGTATATGAAAGAAAAGATAATAATATTCTTTTTGTTTTAATTTTCCTGAAACTGGAACAATTTTAAATGCTCTGGACTAGTAAATTATATTTGTTAGTTTCCTTAATACATTTGCATGGCATTTCATATGCTCAAGCACATTGAACTACTGTAGTCTACAATAAAAGATAATAAACAAAAAAAATATCAAAAAAATAATGAAACAACACTTACAATATTATACAATAAAGGGTATTCATTTGGAAAGGGTGGGGGAAAGAATTTTTTCAGCATTGGTCCTGGGAAGGCTTTCAACAAAACTGAAAAGAAAAGTAGAGGGGATGTCCCTGAGCCTTAGGGAAGAATGTATTACAGAGAATGGGCACAGTTCCAGGGAAGGCCTGCCTATCTGTAAACACCAATAACAGATGGCATTCATTAGCTATCAGTACACAGAGTTTCCTTTGAATTTAGTGGCTGACAGTCTCTACTTGTGAAGGCAAACTGACAGATATCTTGACACCAAAGAGCTTGGAGCTATATATATCTTAATCAAAAATATAATATACACATGTTCAGTTATCCCAGCGGCAGCTCCACTTCGCATGCCTTAAGAACATCGGCTTTCACACCAAGTGCCAAGAAGTGCGTTATAGTAATCTAAATGTGGGGCTACTAGCTTATGAATAACTGTAATTGTCCCTGTCCAGGAAAAAGTGAAGCTGGAATTACAGCTGAATCGTGCAGTAGGCACTCCCAGGTTTGAAAGTTCTTTGGATTCCTGTGACCATGGTAACTCCACAAATATCCCTAATGGTGTATCTGCTCTTTAACAGGGGATGTAACCAGTGGTGATATTCAATTTTTTCCCCTACTGGTTCTGTGGGTGTGGCTTCGTGGGTGTGGCTTTGTGTGTGGAGTCATGTGACTGAGTGGGCATGGCCAACTTGACATCAGTCACAGCAACCCACTAAGACATGCCCACCAAGCCACGTCCACAGAACCAACAGAAAAGTTTGGCTGGCCAAGTCTTCTAGTGTTCAACCTGGCTGCTTCTCACCTCCTTTTCATGTTTGCTCTGTGTATATGAGCCCGAGAAGGAGGAGAAGCAGTCACATTGAATGCTGCGGCAGAAAGAAGCCAAATTTTTCTCCCTCCTTTCACAGCGGAGCTGCTCACAGTCTGTCCACAGTCTGCCTCTTTATGGTCCCCCCTCCTGCCTGGGATCGTACTTTAAAGACTGTGGCCAGTGGCTGCCTTCTGAGCTGCTCTGCTGTGACACTATGCTCTGGCTGCTGCCATTCTCGGATTCGAGTGGCACCGGCAGGCAATGGGGTGCATCTACATGGCCGGAACAGGGTAGCGGCTGGGCACATGCATCCCATTGCCTGCCGGTGCTGCTTGCAGCCAAACCAGGTCAGGCTAGGAGAATGGCAGCAGCCAGAGGGATGGCTTCTCAGCAGAAGTGCTCAGAAGGCAGCTAAAAACTACCACCAGTGGCTGGAGGCTTCTTGGTGCGAAAGACAGCTGAGCCTCAATGTCCCCCCCCAAGGCACGAAGGTAGGTGAGCAAGGTGGGCGGCAAGTGGGTGGTGGCTCCAAGGCAATGCCGCAGTCAGGGAATGGCACATTCCCCGACCCACCCAAGATGGGTGGTGAGTAGGTGGCAGCTGTGGGGCCTTTTGGAATGGTGCATCCCTGAGCCCCTGCCCCTGACCCAAGTTGAAGGGTGAGTGGGAGGCATGCATTGCTTACCTTTGGTGAGCTGAGCATAGCTGGCAAGGCGATTATCCGAACCGTGTGGTGAAGGCAACATATATAGGGTGGGCGGTGGGTGGGCAGGGTGAGCAGCAAGCAGCTGAAAGGGCAAGCAGAGAGTGGACGGAAGAGGCAAGCGGTGACTGGCCAACCGGGTAGACATGGGCGGGGCCAGTCAGAGGTGGTATTTACCGGTTCAGCGAACCAATTCAAATTGTCGCTACCGGTTCACCTGAACCAGTCTGAACCGGTCAAATACCACCCTTGAATGTAACTCATTTGAAAGTTCATTTTCCAAATCTAGGAATTATCATTCACAGAATCTATTTATTCAGATATTATGTAAAAATAGAGCTGTGTATCATCTATTTGTTATTTAGTTCCAAAATGTTTGATGATCATACTCAGGAAATTCAAAAATATCACAGGACACAAAATATTGTCTTGTGGCATACCATGGCATAGCTAGCAGGGTGTTATCTGATGTGACATCTTGAGACTGTTCCTGTAAGCAGGAGCAGAACAATTGTAGTACAGTGTTCCTAATTTACAATATGGTCCTAGAGAATATCATAGTCAACATTATTAGAAACGAATAAGAGATCAAGCGGGATCAAAAGCGTCATGCTCACTTTGCTGCTTTCTCACAAGAGTTCATCCATTAGTTCATTTTGTCCCAAAGCATGCCTGAACACAGACTACCAAAAAAGAATCAAGATAATTTGTATCCTTTAAGAGTTTATGATGCTGCCCAGCCACCCTTCTCTGAAGTATATTGATCAAAAAGTAACATTTGTGTCTGGGAATAGTTGACAAAACATTTGAGATCAATTAAGTGGGTGGACCACTGCCACCTTTAAGGTCAGCAGTGACTTGTATGGCCATCACACAAAGATGCATTCACTGTTCTCTGAGTTTACTTACTCAAATCCCTTTTACAGCTAAGATGGAAAAAGGCAAAGAAAACATGTAGTAGACCACACAACTACAAGGGTATTGTCCATATGCTCTCTTCAAGATTCAGAAACCAAGATCAATATTATACAACTGGGTCAGAACTTATATTGCATCAAAAGCAGGTAGTATGAATCTGAATAATTTGAGTCTGAGTGTCAAGTGTGCGTCCTTTCAGTACTCAAGAAAGAAAAACCCCAACTCCATTTTCATAGAAAAAGGTACTTTTACTGAGTATGAACTGAATCACATATAGAAAGCATCCCTAAAACCCTTCCCCCAACTGTCCAGTCAGGATTATCCAATCCACATTCCCCCCAAGGGTCATGTGGGGTGCAGCGTTCGATGTGCCATTCTCCTGGTATGCCATGACGTTAACCTTGAGTAGTTATCAGTGTTCTTCTCAGCTTCAAAGGAAACACTGAAGAAAACTTTCTCTTCTCTTCTCCACCAGCTCACTTCCCCCCTCCCAGACATTCAAACAGCTCCCCCCTCCCCCCGTTTCAATGGCAGCCGAGCAAGCAAGCAATGAAAAAGCGGAGGCTGACACTGAGTCTGAATTATGTCACCTTGGACTCAATATTATTTTGCGTATGCTAGTATTTATTACCAGCATTATCATTACCATCATCATCTCTGCTTTTGTTCTTGATATCAAAGATTCTTTTAACTGTTCAACAACAATGAAAACTTAAAATTGTATCAGAATAAAAGCACAACAATAATTCATCCTTTATTTTTCTAGCACATTCACAAACTTTATCTAATTGCTTTTAATGTATAGGACTGCATACATCACTGTATTCCTCTTCTATTTCTCCTCTATAATGCTTCTATTATCTTTAGGGCAATATTTCAAATAGGTGGCTTCCATTAAGGTTAACATAGTAATAATGATGTTAAACATAGCTGACGAAAAAAGGTGACCTGAAAAATTAGAGAAATTACAGCTTCAGAAAAATTAACACTGAAATATAGTATTTCTATTATTCACAGATGCCTAATAAGTATTGGAGCTGTTGGGGCTGTGTCAGATATACTGTATGGCTAAAAAGCAACTACAATCTATGTTCATTATCTTCCTTTGTACTGATATTTTCTAACATTGTGTTCTTGTTAGTGGGGTTTCAACTTGATGCTAAAACATGTCTGAAGCCATTAGCAACTGAATACTTTATTCAAGAAATAAAACTTTTTCTAATATTTAAATATATAAACTCAGTACTTAGACATATTGTACACTGTGTTCAGTGAAACAAATCTTAAGACAGAAATCCATATTTCTGTCTAGAGATCAGATCTCTTGAGAACCAGTTTGGTATAATGGTTAAGGCAACAGACTAGGAATTGGGAAAGCATGAGTTAGGCACAAACTCATAGGAATGACCTTGGGTCAGTCATTCTCTCTCTGCCCTGGAAGGAGGCAATGGCAAACAATTGTACTACCAAAAATGCTACCAAGAAAACAGTTGCCAGAAGTCAAAACTGATTCAATAGGATCCAGAATAATAATAGTAATAAATCTAAAACACTGTTAAAATCCTAGTTAATTAATAAATGACTTAGTACTCTTAATTTAAATTATAACCAGACTACTTCGACAGAATAGCTTTATTCATATCCCGAGGAATAGATTGGGGAATGGGAGGTAATCTGCTTTAAAAAGACTACAGAAGAATTTGATCTTATTTTCTAAGATCATCATATTTCTGAGGGAAAAAATGAGTATCAGGCACTTTAACACATATAAAATTATAGATAATAAGTAATAGATTAAATATAGCAGAAGAAACTAGAGAAAATAAACTGTATTAGTTGTTAGAAGTAATAACCATAAGGACTTTGCAAACTCAAATTCAATTAATGCAAATCTAATTTGAATGGGTATGTTTGATCACATTCATTTGAAGTGAGAATACAGGATGTGTCTCACTAATGAGAAAAGCACCTCAACAAATGACTTTCATGAGACTATTACCTGTGCTCTCTTTCATGTTTGTTCATGCTGATTTTTAAAAAGGGGTTGAAGGATATTTCTTGTCAAATGTTAAATCTGAGAAACAGCATGTTATTGTATTATTACTCAATTATCTGAAAAGCTAAATTGCACAGTTTGGAAGATCAACCATATGGCTAAATATATATTCAGACACCATCTTTAGTCTATGTAACTTGAGCAGAACCCAAGTCCTAGAAGTTCATGTCCACTGTTACAAACAACCTAGACCAGAAGTCTTCAAACTTGGCAGCTATGCTAGTGGAGAATTCTGGGAGTTGAAGTCCACAAGTCTTAAAGCTGCCAAGTTTGAGGACCCCTGACCTAGACTATTATCTGTGCTGGAATTCATGGAATTCAAGAACTATCAAGCTTGGGATATGTCTGACCTCATAAACAGAGCACACAATACTGCTGATCACCTTTGAATCAGAAGTTGACCATTTTTAGAGACCGGCAATAGTAGAGATGATGAATCCTTTTCTCCTGCAAGTTACTGCAATATTTGTGCATGGAACAATGCTTAAGAATTCTTCACTGATTCCTAATTCATAATAGACAGTACAATATTCCAATATTTTTGATTTTATCAACCTAAAGTGAGAAGCAGAATCATAGAGCAAATATTCTACTTTTTTTTTTTTTTTTAAAAGGCTAATCATACATTGGTGCCCCAACACAAACCAATTTATATAGAAATGATGCAACATGTTATCAGGGTGTCAGGATTTACTCCCTATTAAAAACCCTTGTTAACGTTCTTTGTAAGTCTTTGCCCCAAATCTAAGGCAACTTCACTTGAAACTCAAAGATAAATTGGCCAGTTGCCATTGTGATAATGATTGTGACCATTCTTACCATTATTTATTCTTCTATAACTACATTAATGCCAGGAGTCAAAATTGCAGTTAATTGATACTTGGTGTGAAAAAAAAATCTGTTAACAGTATTGTAAACTTATGATTAGACAAAGTCTCATCTCTGTTTTCTTGCAAACAAACTTAACAAATTAGGCTGAAACTTCCTTAAAAAAATCAAGAGAAGACTTATATTCTCAGATAGATAGAGTAGTTCAACAGCAGCAAGCAGACTGCTTCTAGCAAAAAAGCCATTAAGTTATGTCAACCCTGACAGCTCTACAGCTGCCTTAAGGGCATTACTGCATTAACCAAACTTTAGCTGAGCTGCCTGCTATGCTAGCTGAACATTTAGTTGCATATGCTGATAAGAAAAACAGGAAAGGAAGACACTGTAAAAACTCCTTGGGTATATATTGGTGATGTTCAGCTTATGATTCTGAGGCAAAAAAGCACCTGTTCATTTAATTTCCCTACCAGTTGCAAATCAGAGGTTGGAAACATTTGTAATTCCTTACACCATGTCCTGTAAAGCTTGTATGCAATGATTTTTCAAAAGGTGAGCAGCCAGATAGTGAAATTTTTACATATCACAGGAATGTTGATATTTGGTGTCTAATTCATTTGCAAACAAGATATGATATAGTCAGCAGATGGGGATTAGTAAACCCTGTTAAGTTTTGTGACCTGATATAATATGAATTACCATGGGAAATCAAGTGAAAAATGAATAGTAGAACAGCCTCAGCAGCAACAATAAAAGTTGTTTTGTGCAATTAACACTTTTTTAAAAAGTTATATAGTTCTAAGGTTGATCAAACATTCAAAGGTGAATATTTAAAACCTGTTAGATCAGAAGTGGGACTTCCAGAACATAATGTAGCCTTGAAACTGAATTTCAGAGAGGTTATTGGTGACATAATTTCCTGCCATTTTAAAGCATTAATCAAATAATAATAATAATAATAATAATAATAATAATAATAATAATAATAAGTGATAATGATAATAATAAATAATAATAATGATAATAATAAATAATAATGGAATAATTACAAAGGAAATTATAAAAAATCAAGAGGAACAAAAGATCAGCTACTCATTGACAAAATGGTACTAAAAATGCAAAACAAAGAAAAACGAATTTAAATATGGCATGGATTGGTTACAAGAAGGCATTTGACTCATTACCCCACAGTTGGATTAACATCTGTCTAGAAAACTTTGGAATCAGCAAAAATATTTGTACATTTTTGAAAGCAAATATGCAAAAATGGAAAACAGTTCTAACAGCAAATGGGGGGAACATTGGTGAAGTCAACATCAGATGGTGAATCTTCCAGGGGGACTCACTTTCACCACTACTGTTCAACATCGCATTAATTCCACTGACAATAATCCTACGAAACACAAAACTGATATACCAAATCTCAAGCCAACATGGCAAGATAAACCATCTATTATACATGGATGACTTAAAAATGTATGCAAAAAGCCCCACTGAATTTAAATCAATACTTAACAAAGTTCAACTGTTCAGCAGTGACATCAAAATGAACTTTGGACTTGAAAAATGTGCTATATTATCCATGAAGCAAGAAAAAATAGAAGGAATAGAACTGGGAAATGGAAACATACTAAAAGCATTAGCAAAGGATGATGGTTACAAATACCTAGGTATATTAGAAACAGATAACATCTTGAATGGAAAACTCAAAGAGTCAATGCAAAAGGAATACATCAGGAGGGGCCGCAAAATATTAAAATCAAAGCTGGATGCTAGAAACATAATTAAATCCATTAATACATGGGCAGTTCCAGTGATACACTACTTAGCTGGAATCATCAACTGGACTTTGGCTGAACTGAAAAACTTGGACCGGAAAACACGCAAACTTTTGAATATGTACATCCACAGGTTGTACCTGCCAAGAAAAATAGGAGACAGAGGATTATTGCAAATCCATCAAACTGTAGAAAAAGAAAAATGAAGTTTGAATGATTATGTGAACCAAAGTACAGAAAAATTGCTGCAGGCTGTGAAAACGAAGAATGTTATAAAAACAACAGAAACAAAGACAGAATATAAGGAAAAACAGCTGGATTACAGATTAAATAGATGGAAAACCAAAGCTTTGCATGGACAGCTCTTGAAAAACATTGAAGAAAAATGTGATGACAACTTTACATGGACATGGTTTAAGATGGGAACCATCAAGAAAGAAACAGAAGGTTTAATACTCGCTGCTCAAGAACAAGCACTACAAACTAATGCCATGAAAACAAAGATACAAAAATTCACCGATAATCCAAACTGTCGACTTTGCAACAACAAAGTTGAAACTGTTTCACATTTAATATGTGAATGCAGCAAAATTGCACAAACTGATTACAAAGCTAGATACGACCGAGTTGTGTCCACTGGTCATTATGTAAAAAATACGACTTTCCTGTACCCAAAAAGTCATGGGAACATAAAGTGGAAAAACTTATAGAAAATGAGAAGGTGAAGATCTTGTGGGACTTTCGAATACAGACGGATCATCATTTGGAACACAACACACCAGATATCACAGTTGTCAAAAACTGAAACATACAATTTATTGACATCACGGTGATGTCAAGGGTCATACCAGGAGATGTCAGAGTTGAAGAAAAAGAACTGGAAAAAATCATGAAATATCACGACCTGGCTATTGAAACTACACGGCTATGGATGAAACATGTAACAGTGATACCCATTGTTATCGGGGCACTTGGTAACATGTCCAAGAATTTTATAGGATACATCAGCAAATTGCAGCTGCCTGCAATAACACCAGTGGAACTGCAAAAAACTGTGCTACTCGGAACATCGTATATTTAAGAAGATACGTTATTTGATACCTAGAACGCTAGCAGCAACCCGTATCAGCCTTTGCACCAGTCAATGGTATTTGTGACATATTTTTAAATGTCCAGTTGACTGAGTCTCATGTTTAATGAATAAAAGGGATAATAATAATGTAAATAGGCTTGATTTTTGGTTGCTAATCACAGTGTGGAATTTAAGATCACTCTATTGGTTAAGGAACTACATCGTCAATTTTTTTCTTAATTGATAAACAAAACAGGTCAATGGTGATATGGGTAGCATATAAATTTAATAAATAAATCATAAAATTATTTGTTTTTTGTTCTTCAAATTACTGTTAAATATTGAAAAAATTATGAATCTGAAATCAAGAAGGGTGCAGAACAAAGAGAAATTTCACTTCATCTGATTCCAATATCTGAATAATCTCTCACTGTTGAAGCAATGATAAAAAAATATTTATTCCCAAGTTATAAGATAATAAAATAAGAAAGTAACAGAAAGCAGGTTAGATATAAAAACTTTAATGCTTTATAGTGTTCTAGGAAGACTGAATTTATGCAGCAAAAAAACATCTTGATTATGGTAAAATAAATCTTTTGGGACATAAAGCAGATTTTTTAAAAAACTATATGCAGATCAGTATAAAAAAAAATCAAAGTTAAGATGTGCCAACGATATTGAATAGCGTTGAAAGTAAATAATGATGGTTAATATAAAGTGGCATATCTATAGATCCTATTTCAGATAAATAATTATATGAGTGTTCACCACCTTTACAGTCCTAAGCAGGATGAATCTATTATTGTATGTAGGAAAAAATAATATGGGTGATCTTCTGTTCTACCCAGAATACAAACTGAAAGTTGAAACTACTTACTATATCTATTTTGGTTTTCTTTCAGTAGATTCCAATTGTTGTTTTCTTAACATCTACTATATGGCATCATATTCTTCCTTCATCTCTGCAAGCAGGATCTTGGGAATAGGATTCAAGGAAGACACTGATTTTTTTTACCTGTCACTACAAATGGTACAGAAACACAAGTTACTTAGCTACTTGTTTACTTCAAAGATTTCTCTTTTAAAATTAAGCTATAGGGTACATTTGGGGCTTTTCCAAATGAGTGACTTGAATAAATCTTACTTTCAGTTTTATTAAAGTAATGAATATTCTTATCTTGAATTTGAAAATTTACATTTATAATCTTTTCTTTTTTACGTTTATTTTTAGACTTCTAGTTCTATGGTGCTGTAAACTGTCCGAGATACAGATACCTAAACATCATTACAGTTTTAAATGTTTTAAATTAGTTAAAAATGAATATATGGGTTAGTGATAGGGATTTTGTCTGGATGTTTCTTTCTCTGTAATCCATGGATAGATCAGTTTATTCTTAAACTCAGTCTTTCCTGTGGGCTTCCCCACCAAACCAGGAAGCATGGAGAGCAAAAGAAAAGATTTTACTGTCTGTCAGCAGGATAAGTCACCAGAAACAGAGCAGCTCATCCTCCCTGCCATAAAGAAAGGGCTCCTATATAGGTTTAAAAGGAGAAGCCAGCACAAGAAAGACTGAGTTTAAGAATAAACTGATCTCATCTCTCTATATATGTATATTCCTTCAGAACGTTACTAGCAAAGTTTTTGGATTTATCTCACAGACCTAAGTCATTGTAAGCTTCTCTTGTTGAGACATTAAAAAAGGACACTTAAATACAGACCGGTGGAAGTTAAACATTCACTTTCATGATAGAGCCCTATGAAAGGATCCCTTATCTGTTCCCAGCAATGCTGCCAAAGCAAGTAAGCTTCTAATTTTCGGTAGCGTGCTTGTAAACATGTATTCTTTTTTTTTTTTTAATTTGATTTATATGCCGCCCTTCTCCGAAGACTCAGGGCGGCTTACAATGTGCTCAGCAATTTTTTATACAATACAATTATTCAGAATAATAATTGTACTATTTTCTTTTGGACGAAAGAAATAGAATCACAGGCACACACATGCTTCTAGATTAGCCTCCACTCCAGGGTTAAGACATAATTAATGATGCTAAATGTAAGTGTCCTACTCTCAGCATATGACAACTGTGACTTCTCATTCTTCCATTACCTCTTCCATGGACTTCCATGTAGAATTTTGCAATGAAGCTTTATGTCAATTAGTTTTAATATTTTGTAATTGCCACTTAAAGAAACATGTATAATAATGCCTATTTATCATGGACACAAGCCATGATGCCTAGGCCTGTTGAGGAAAGGGAACATTGTAGTAAATTTAATAAGTAAGGTTAATAATTTAGGAGTGTTAGTACTCAGATTAGATTTATGTCCTGTTTTATATGCTGGAAATGGGTGAACCAAATAATACACTTCTTGTTTCATTTTTTTTAAGATTAGTAGATTTTTGTGATGCAGGTGACATTAATTTAATTCAATATTTTTTGATATACAATATGTGTGCCTTGTTTTTAAATTTTCATAAGTATAATATACAGCCTATACAAGGCTAGGAACATTCACCTTAACACACCATTTTGTAATGGAGGCAACATTATTCACCTCACTGAAACATACATAGGCAAGATGATTGAAGTTGTTCCAACTCCGTGTTTCTGTATATGTAATCATGCTTTATACTATCAGAACAATATGGGCCAGAGGAGACAATACAATACAATCAATACAAATTTTGCTTCACTCTGTAGAAATAGGAAAAGCAGTTCATCCAAAGTTTGCATAGTCCTAATAACTTAGTGATCAGAATAATAAAAAAAAAACCCAACACAGACCAACAAGCAGCTATGTGCTGCTCTTTATGGCAGACACGATGGTTGAGACGATGGTTGAGAAGTGGAGAGGATGGGAAGGATTCCCTGCTGGCGCTGCAGTGCTGTAATGTAGTGAAAGTGGTAAATCAAAATCTAAAAGTAAAAGTGATAAACCATAGCCTCTGCTCTGCCCTGATTTTGGAAAGACTGCACACTAGTTGAGTATAATTATTTAGACGTTCCCCAGAGAGGATTCATCTGGAACTTCAAATTGGTCAATGTAGTTTTAGTTCCTGAAAATTATTTTTAGTGATATGTGTAGAATAACCTATATGTAGAGTATAACCTGCCAGAAATTAAAGAGCTATATATATAAAAAAAAAGATTGCTAACTTAAGAGTGACTATGTTTACAAACTCAGAGTTTCTGGGGACAAAGAAAGCAGCAAATAGTGAATCAATATATTTTTGCACCTTCTTGCAAAGTCATTTTCACTTTGGCTTCATGGTTTCTGAACCCAAAATGGTGTTTAAAGGAACATTATGGAAACTATTGATTAGGAAACTTAAAGAAATTTGTTGTTAAATGTGATAGAAAAAATACTTTCTCCCTCATAATAGTTTTTCAAACAATCAACAAAATGAAAAAACGAACAATCCAGACTCATTCTTGTTAATTTTGTTATAGTAATATTTAATTGAATATATGAAAACAGGCCTCCCTAAACTTATCTGAAATCGAGTGGAGATTAATAATGTCCAATTTTGCAGGTTGACCTTCCTCAAAAGTACAATATGCTCATGTAGTTAACAAGAGAGAATTGCAGAAGATATATTCTTGGAAATACATATTCTTCATAAATGAATTAAAAAGTGTGATCTTTCAGCAATCACTTTACAAAAATTCTAGAAGTGTGAATACCCTGAATTTGGATTCACATTTTATTAATAAGATGTTAGGTTTGTGTAAAAATTAATTTAATGAAACACTGGTCTCAAATCTTCATGTCATCTTCAGGGCCCTTAAAAGTTTTGATTTAAAACTTCAGTTCAAAGGAAATTAATTGAATCGCCTTTTCAAATCATATCTTTGAGTCGAACTGTTTTGACATATTTAGGTGAATTAGTTTCTTTGAATGGTTTGCAAGATATTTGCATATGCTAATTAGTTCATTGAATAAATTAAAACATCTGTATATAATTGATTCAGTGAATTGACTGAATCAACTCAATGGACCCTGGTACTCACCTAATTTACACAGCCCTGTGTAAGCATCTGAAAATCTAATTTGTCCTCCTGGCTATTACAGAACAAAAAAACAACAACAACCCATAGTTCAGTTACTATAAATCATTTATTGATACAGATATTAGTAGAAGAACACAGGAATGCTTTCAGTCCCATACTCTTTAGTAATATTCATTATCTCTATTAGAGCTGGCTTCTTTGCTAATAAAATACTTTATCTTATAAATAAAATACTTATCATAATTTATTTATTTATTATAATTTATTATTATAAATACTTATTTATTTATTTTATAAATAAAGTACTTTATCTTATAAATAAAAATACCAAGAAATATGATAAGATTTTGCTTGGGATAATGCAAAGTTTCCCATCAATTTTACAAATAATTTAATAATACACAAGAATCTTTACTTGTTAGTTTTTCATTGTTACCTTAAAATGGGTGTCCTAGATTATATTTTAGCATTACTAATCACTGACACACATTTTAAATTAAAATGAACAATCATTACACAATCTATAGAATATTATGACTGGTCATTCTTGTTAAGTGAGATTTAATTGGAAAAAGCAAACGGTTTGCATGCAGAGATAACTGTGAACAGCTTACAACACAGCTATGTAAGCAGTGGTGGGCTGCAATTAATTTAACAACTGGTTCACCTAGTGACCGATTGGGTGGGCATGGCTTGGGGGTCATGTGACTGAATGGACATGGCCAACTTGATGTCACTCACAGTAAGGTGGGACGGTGCAGGTGGGCAGATACTGCAGAGATAGGGCGATTTCCTATGTACCATTCCAAGTCCCTTTCCCCCCTCTTGGGTTGACAAAATAAAAACCCATTTAAAGATTGCAATTACCTGCCGAGCCTGCATGGCACATGCTGGCAAAAGGAGGCTAGGGGGAAAGAAAGAGAAGGGCCGATGGAAATTTTCAGCCTCCATTCAGCTGTCTGCACCGTGCTCAATCTGAAAGGGGAGGTGAGGGGAAGCAAAAAGCCCACTAGGTCCATATGTACTTACTAGCATGACAGAAAATCTCTCTCCCAGCTCACTGGTTCGGGCATTGGGAGCTGGAGGAGTAGAGTGTATGTGTATCTCCTGAACTCCATCTGCTGCTGCTCCAAGCCTGGAGCCTGGCTGCAGATGACAATCAGCCAATTTCTTCCAGCGCTTATGCAAGGAACCCTGGAGGAGCTTACCGGCAGCATATTGCATGCTTTTCACTCCAAGCAGCCCTGGAAAAAGTATTTCAGGGGCAGAGCGGTCTTCCTTAACAAGCTCCAAACCATTGCTGCTGCTGCAAGCCTGGGTTCCCTGCACGAGTATTGGAAGAAAGGGAGTCTGAGAGTGAGGGTGGGCTTTTCCAAGGCCAGTCATAGAGGGAAACCTCTATGTGCGCCTTTCTTTCCCGAGGAAAAAGCCCAAGCCCACCGGCACATCTGGCCAGATAAAGGCTGGTGGGGAGCCAAGCGATGATGGCTCAGCCCTGGCTTTCCTTCCTCTCTGCCACCAGCTGCAGGAGGAAAGTAAGGTCATGGGATGAAGAAAAAGGTGATCATGGGGAAAGAAGCAGGGAGATTTAGTAAGGACCAGGGCCTCTAAAGGAGAAGAAATGGGGCAACCCGAAGCAAAGCACAAGCGAGTGGCATGTGGAAGGAGGCTCCAGGAAAGGCCAGAGGCAGGAATTGATGCATCCCCTGACCCAAGGCAAAGGATGAGTGGGTGGTATGCAGGTGGATGCAGGAGAAAGCCCTGGGAAAGGCAAGAGCCATGGACTAGTGCATCCCCTGACTTTAGGCGAAGAGAGAGTGGGCGGCATGCAGGTGGAAGGATGGCGAGAGCCAGGCCTGAAATGCGGCTGAGGCTCACCAGGTCCACCCCGAGGCAGCCCTTCGCCTGAGTGGTTTATCTCCATGGGCAGCTGCTGTGAGCAGAACGGGTGAAGCGTGCTTATCAGCTGGGCTGTGTGGTATGGACACGGTGAGATAGGGCAGGGTG